GTGGCATCATCAGAACCTACTCTAGTCGTACCTTCAGAGTCACAGTAGCCCCTAGTTCCTGATCCGACCTAGACTGCTACAACACCGATTACAACTACAAAGGGTCATACAGCTCAGAGCTCCGGATCAGATGATGATGGTGCCCAGTTCTAGCTTGCTCCTTGTACCTCAGCGCCCGACTCATCCGCTGCAGCCCCGCCGACCGACCCTTAGGTTTTGGTGTTTGTCGCCAAAGGGGGAGAGGGATCGAGTATGATAGATTCAGGGGGAGCGACGTATTCAGGGGGAGCTTAGTTATTATATTAGCTTATATATTACATTTAGAGTTTTTATGTGTGATACACTATTATGCAAGAGCGACGTATTCAGGGGGGAGCTTAGTTATTATATTAGCTTATATATTACATTTGGAGTTTTTATGTGTGATACACTATTATGAATTCATCGTGTGTTTACCTTTATGCATTGAACTATATATATATATATGTGATAGTGATATCTATGTGACCGTGATATATGACATGTGTGCTCTCTACTTTGAATTATTTATATGTCATATCACTTGTATTATGCTCATTTGCATTTGCTTCCGCGTTTTACTCCGATGCAAATGAGCTTTATTACTTGTACTCATGCTTATTTCATATCTTTGGAGTACATTATAATGGCTTGGGTCATATAAGCTTGACTAACTCTTTTGTTCTTATTGACAAAAGCTTATATGATCCAAGCATGTTAAAAACCTCAACTCTTTCACATACTCGAGGTAGTATTGTCATCAATCACCAAAAAGGGGAAGATTGAAAGCATCTAGGCCCCTAATTGGGTTTCGGTGATTAATGACAATATAAGATTATTGTGACTAATGTGTGTTTTGTAGAGGCAATTAAGTTAGGTCACGGTAATGGAGATCGATTGGGCTATCATGGTTGTCATGCCCCTACGATGGAAATCGTTTTGGTTTTCAAAGGATGGACGACAAGGTTAAGGATGGACTAGTTCTAAGTGTCGTTTGGAGTTGGAGAGACACTTAGAGTAGTTTAGGACTTTGTTTTTCCTTTGGTCATACTATTAAGGGGGGTATGGACGGGTAGCTTGACCTAGGTGAGTCTAGTGAGTTAGGTGTGGTGCACACTTGTTAAAACTAGCGCTAGGTAGCTCCGACATATGCCTAAGATCTATTGGAGCAAACTTCATTCACGTATGATCGAGAGTTGAAAGTGAATGGAGGGTCAAATACTGACCGAACGCTGGCTCCGGTTTGACTGGACGCTGGTTCAGGGTCCGGTCAGTTTATTTGACCGAGGGGAAATTGTTCGATGCGACCGGACGCTGGAAGGTCGAGTGACCGGACGCTGAGAGCCAGCGTCCGGTCGTTTCCTGTAAGGTTCCATAGAGGGAAAATTGTGACCGGACGCGTCCGGTCACACTGTAATCACTGGTTTTCGGGGAGAACTGATCGGAGCGTCTGGTCAACATGACCGGAGCGTCCGGTCACCACGCAGAGGCACATAACGGTTCATTTTTTAGCCCATGTTATAAATAGAAGCTCCACTCGTGTGTGGAGTTACTTTTGCTCATTCCAACAACTAAAACACACCTTAGAGAGTGCCAAGAAGAGCAAGGTCCTAGTGAGGTGATTGAGATTTAAGAATCCCAAAGAGAGCCCTCATTAGTGAGATCAAGAGTAGCAAAGTGTGCATCCACCCTTCTCCCTAGGCTTGTCATGGTCAAGTGAGAGTTTGTGCTTGTTACTCTTGGTGATCGCCATCACCTAGATGGCTTGGTGGTGATTGGAGAGCTTGGTGATCATCCGGAGAGCTTGTGGATCACCCAACTCAAGTTGTGAGCAGTTGTGGGTGATTCACCGCGACGGAGTGTCGAAGAATCAACCCGTAGAGAGCACTTGATCCTTGCGCGGATCAAGGGGGAGCTACACCCTTGCGCGAGTGCTCTAACGAGGACTAGTGGGGAGTGGCGACTCTCCGATACCTCGGTAAAACCTCGCCGCGTTCCTCCTTCTCTATTTAATTTGAGCATTTACTTTGAGTATTTCCTTTGAGTATTTACATTGAGCAATTCAATTCTTGTCTTTACAATTCATAGAATTGCCATGCTAGAGTAGGATTGGAACCTAGGTTGCAAGTCATTTGTGCGGTAGAACAACTAGAAACACTTTTTAGGCATAAGGGGTTAATGATGCTAACCGTAGGATTTAGTTATTGCAAAGAAATTTAGAATTAGCCCAATTCACCCCCCCTCTTGGGCATCTTGATCCTTTCAGAGCGCCATAACCGGCAGACGATGCCTACACATGGCGCCAGTGATGGATAGGACCGTGACGTGAAGCTATCCCTGTTGATGTCTACAGGGTCAGCGGGACATGCATAGAAGAGAAGAAGGAACCGGTGATCCTGGAGGGACTTCTTTCTCCTTCTAATTCTCCTCTCCTCCCTCTGCTGTAACCCCTGCTTTCCCTTGGCCTATAAAAGGGAAAGTAGGGCATCCGATTAGAGGGCATCAGACCAACGATCGAACACATCCAAATCCAAACCTAACTCGACTCGATTCGAATCAGAGCACACCGCAACACACCATCGGAGACTTGGGATCAGTCCCTCTCTCGACCGTTTGTAACCCCTACTACGAACTTTCAGTGCTTGTAACATGAGCAGCAGCAACGAACTGGACGTAGGGACATTATGACCGAACCAGTATAAACCTCGTGTCCTCTTAGCACACCATCCGGGCCAGACGCGCAATATTAGAAATTTAGTTGTTGGTGGCAACTCGAAACAACGACAAGTACCTGCAAAAAAAATTGTTTGGTCATTATTGAACACAAAATTATTCCTGCTAAGCCAAATTGCCCAACAAACTATTGCAGCTAATGTCAATAAGAAAGATATAAGGTTTTGACCCCTTGCTTAGACCAAAAATTAAACAAATCATGTATATTATGTGGAGGTTTGATGCCTAAGACAAAGTGTACAGCAGGCCACAATGCTTCGGCATAATGACACTCGAAAATGTGTTGGATGGTTTCTAACTTCGGCAAGCCTAGCGCCCCGATGTCCGGCCCTAGGCCTGCGTCTAGACGTGGCTCCCATTTGATGCACCAGTCGCGCCCCCCTCACGTAAACCAAAACAGAATTACGTCCGTTGCGCCTGCGCAACAGGAGAGCACGCCCGCCGTGCCCACGTCACCACTCGCTTGCGCCCATGCTCCCAACCACGACGTACGCAACATCCCGCTCCCCAGGCATCATCCATCCGTACGGAGCTCCCTCGCTTGCGCCCGATGCACGTAGCTCCCTCGTCCCGCGCCCATCGCCCATCCCTCGTTCGTATGGATGCTCTACCGGCTCCGGGAGAGATGACGTAATAGAAGGTGGGAGGAGGAGAGATGCAACACCTGATCTACTTTTTAAGCATCCAAATACAACGGTTGCAACATACGTCTGAAGGCAGTTGAACACTTGAAACATGCTTCTGGAAACACTTGAAAACACACCTAAAACACACTTGAAAACCACTCGCAACCATACGCAACATCCGAATAAAACACATGCAACATATGTGTGAAACATATGCAACATCCGGATAAACACAATTGCAACATGTGTCCGGGAAACACAGATGAAACATACCTCTGAAACACTCAAAACATACACTTGGAACATGCCTTTGAAACAATTGCAACATGTGCAACATCTCCCGATCTATTTTCACAACATCCATATGAAACAATTGCAACACACCTCTGAAACGTCTGAAACAATTGAAACATTCAATTGCAACATAGGGGAGAGAGAGAGCCTGGCGCGGGGAGTGCCATGGTGGCCACCGGATTTGTGGGCATTGGGGGCTCCCGGAGGGGGAGGACGCTGGTGTGGGGGGAGAGGCGACGCTGGGGTGGGGGAGGGGGACGCCGGGGTGGGGGAAGGAATCGCCAGGGGTTGGGAAACCTAGGGGAGGGAAGGCTACACCGATCGATTTCAGCCACCGGGGGTCGGCGGCGGCGGCGGCAGCCAGCGGTGGCTGCTCTAGAGCCTGGCCATCGTCGGTGGTGGCGACGAGGACCACCGCAACGGTCGACAACGATGGCCCGGGAGCTGCCGCGGTGCGGCCACCGGTTCCACATCGAGTGCCGGGGTTGGGGAAGGGGCCTCCGGGGTGGGGGAGAAGGCCGCCGGAGTGGGGGAGCATGTCGCCGCCGGCCAGGGAGGCAGCCATGGCCGCACGTCGGGGTAGTGTGCGGGGTGTGAGCAGCGGAAGGGTGGAAGAAGCGAGGGACTGGGTGCGGGAGTGAGCAAGTGAGGCAAGTTGGGTAGCCGTGGCCGCGCATTGATGTTGGGCCAATCGACGCGCAAGCCTAGAACGGTGTGTCCGGCGTGAACGCGCGCGGACTCTAACTTACTGCAAAAGTAGCATAATTTACTATCATTCTAATTTCTTCTAGCTTAAGTATTCTTGGCAAGAATGATCCATCTTTTAAAGTACTATGCAAATATTTTTTTTGAGGTTAATATTCTTCACTCATTAATTTGGCCACCATTCGAAGTCGTCTTTTCATATTTGTTCTTTATATTAACTTTGATGTTTCACAGCAAACGTGGGAGATGTCTTGTGGTGGAAAAAAGCAGGCCCACCCACGTGATCGATGCAGAAGCACGTGGTGTGTCACTGTGAGCTCCCGTCGGATGGATCGCTAGACTCGAAAGGAGCGAACGTTCGCTCGTGGAACTGGAATTGGGCCTTTCGACGACAGCCCTGTATTTTGTATTTTGGATTGGATGGAGTTTAGCGTTTGAGATTGCGACGTGTCAAACCACAGAACAAGGCACCTTCGAGAAAGAGACTAGACCCAATACGTACGCTCACCCGTGTCAGCACCCTATCAGATTCCACGGCTATATATATATGTCAACTGACCATTACGTATACATGCATTGTAACGAAAACCAAATCCTATTATGCGCACACGTAATACACACGGCATGGCACCGGCGCGGTCCACGCCGATCATCACCACCTGTGTCCTCCTCTCCTTCCTCGCCGCAGCGTTCATCGCGGCGACACCGGCGGCGGCGGCGGCATCTGACGAGACGACGTGCGTGCCGTCGCTGCAGCGGCTGCTGTCGTGCCTGGACTTCATCGAGCACCGGTCGGACGAGATCCCGACGCCGTGCTGTATCGAGGTGAGGCGCACGGTGGCGGAGCAACCGTGCTGCCTCATGCACGTGGTGCGCGGCAACGCCGCCAGGCTGATCGGCCCCGAGTACGACAACACCCGCGCCATGGTCAACGTCACCGCCAAGTGCCTCGGCGACGCCTCCATCCTCATGTCCATCACCCGCAACTGCTCAGGCATGCCGCTCCCGCCGCTGACGCCTGAGTTTACGTTTACTACTGCTGCGGTGCCGCAGCCATCGTCGTCATCAGGTGAGCAACAGATTGATCTCTAATAATGGCGAATTTTTTTGGTGTGATGCTGCTGCTGGTTTCTCAGTCGAACCTGAACGTTTTGTTTTTTCCATGTGCACAGGAGCAACGATGTGGGCGGGCTCGTCATCTTGGACCTCATTGTTGCTAGGCCTTGCTGCAACCGTCGTCTATGGAGCCGTTGCTGTTCTACAGATTTAGTAGGCCTTCTTATCGTCGGAAAATACATCTATTTGTCTTGTTCATGTTGATTTACTAACTCAATCAGTCAAGTACTATGAGTTGCGCTTATTATCTTGTAGATTTTATGTGTCTAGCTAGGCAAACTTTGATGTGTTCATCGGTTACAAACTTACAATAATCTCGATCTGAGATGCCAGGACAATGTATATGAATATTATCTGTTCTTTTGTTTTCTTTTACGGTAATGCTACTGTACAAGCATCCGGACGACGTTAAAAATATCGGACGTATGCCTGACGCTCTCTCAATATCCGTCTCTCTCCTCCACGCTTTTCACCACACATCAGCCTCTTTCTAGTTTCCACTAGTATTCACCAAAATAGACACTCGTTGTCTCGTTAACCTCTCTCCTCCCCTCCTCTCTCTCTCTCTTATACTCCCATGGCGCAGTAGCCCTTCAAGATGACAACACTTGGGACGGCGTGGCGCAGCATGGATCCTCCGATGGGGTCCCTCACTCTTTCTCGTTTGTGAACTTATTTGCGGTGGGAGTGTCCTCTCCAGTAATGAGCTCGTCCATGGCGAGATACATGGAAGTGGCGTGGCGGTGTTGCTTGGCAGTGGGCGGCTCTTATCCACCCCGGCGCGGCGCCCTCCCCACCCACGGTGCCGCCCTTTCTCACCCCGATGACCGAGCTCCCCCCACCCCGGCGGATAGGACAGGTGCGAGAGCTACGCCGGCGGCGACCAGAGCAGCTTCTACTACGAGTACTGCGTCTGGACACCGCAGCGCGCCGACAATAAGAGCGCCGACGCGCTGGGCCTCGCCATCATCGCGGCGAGGTTTGCCAGGGCGACAACCAGCGCCACGCGGGCCAAGATCGCCGCGCTGCTGCGCAACGAGACGCTCCGCCAGGGAGTACGCCGCCTCGGGCACGCCGTGTCGGCCGCGCGGTTGTCTGGCGGGAAGAACCTGCAGCACGCGCAGGCGCTGCTCGCGGAGGCCACGGGTACCCCCGCGCGCTGTCAGGCTGCGTCGCGGCCGCACGACAGGACTCGCCGCTGGCTGACGGGGACTTCGGACTAGACGACCAGATCGAGTAGCCCATCGCCATCTTGCCGCTGCCGCGGCCGTCGTCGCTGTTGATCGCGCTGGTTTTTGGTATGGATTTGAGCAATAAAATCTTGACAGCTAGCATGCGTGTGATGTTGTTAATTGTTCTAACTCTGCTTCGTAACGTGCGTATAGAGAGAGCAAATAGAACACTAAAAAGAAACGGCACCACTAGCGTCCGGACGTCCGGACGCCTGCGGCTGTTCCGCCCTGTCCGCTCGGATTCGCGCGCTGCTCGTGCCAGCTCCGTTTCCCGCACTCGCATCCGAACCGTCCACTTGAAATCTGCTACCCACGCTGCTCGCCTGCTCGGATGACTCGTCCCCGTCTCTTCCATATCGGTGCGGCGCTCGTCTCTTCCAGACCGTCCGGAAATTAAAAACTCGCCCCCGCCTCTTCCACAACAGTACTACGTGACCTGTTCCTCCTCTCCACACCGCCGCTGTCGGCCTACGCCTCCTTCACACGTCGGTGGCCACGGCTTGGCCCTGCCCGTCCTCATGGACACTAACGTCGGCTGTGTGCACTTGCAACATGAAACACTCGAATGCAACATAATTTGGAATAGATAAAACATTTGGGATATACTCTTGCAACATGTGTATGAAATATATGCAACATCCAGATAAAATAAATGCAACATGAAAAAAAGCACTTACTGCAACATAAGACTGAAACATCTGAAATATTTGGAACATACTGTTTCAACATATTTGTGAAAACATATGCAACACCTAGATATAAAACGATTGCAACATACATCTAGAAACAGATGAAACATTTTAAATAAACACTTGCAACATGCTTCTAAAACACTTACAACATATGCATCATGTGCAATATTCTCCAATCTACTTTTGCAACATCCATAAGAAACAACTGCAGCATACCTTTGAAACACCTGAAACATACATTTGCAACATAGGAAAGGGGAAGCCTGGGCGCTCGATTCCAGCTGTCGGGGTCGGAGCCGGTGGCGAGCGTCGGCGCACGAGCACCAGCGCCACCAGCGCCAGGCTTGGCTTAGCTCCGACGGTGGGGGATTGGGTGCTGCAGCACTTAGAACAGTCGTTTCATGCTACAAATATGTTTAATTATGCATATAAAACAGTCGTTTCATGCTACAGTCTGCAGCAGCAGCAACAACATATATTAAAGTACCTACACTTGTATACTAATGCAAACTATTTTTCTTATCATGTTAGGGTCAAATGGATATCATGATGGCTCAGCCTACACCAGAAGGGGGACAATCAAAGACTCCTGCTGAAGTTTTTGCTCATGTTTTGCCATCAAGTAAATTTCTTCGAAATGTTGGCCTTGACACAGCAGTCCCCAAGAGAAGCGCTACTGCTGCTGCACGTGTACAAGAGCTGGAGGTTGAAGTTGTGGCTGAGAAGTAAGGTGTTGCAGCACTTAGATCAACTTCATTGCCAGCAGGATGAGTTGGAAGCGTTGAAGAAAAAGGTTGAGGAATCAGAGGAAGCAAGAGAGAAGCACACAGAAGAGATTGAAAATTCGAAGAAATAAGCAGAATAAACAAATGTTCTTCTTCGTCGGTTGTTCACGTTGAACAAGGACTAGGTCACTCCTTACCTTTTCCTTTTATCCTACTGATCATGATGCATGTCCTCAATATGGCTTGGATATATGGCTGTTTATTTATTTTGGTACAATGGCTCGGACCTAGTAATGGTTTGCATCTGGATGTCTATTTGATAATGCCTTGGATATGTGGCTGCTGATTTTACCACTTGGGTGGATCTGGTAGTGACTTGGACATGAGTTTAATGTATTTTGGGTTGAGTTTAACATGAGAAATTATTTCAACATGTGACTCTGAATGGATCTATGATGTAATGAATGTGAGCGCTTGATGATTGACAAAAGATTTCTATCTGCAATGCTACGATGTGTTGTATATTGTTCAATGGACTTCTTGTGAGCTACAATGTGCCATGTCAGATCATGCCGCATCATATGACAACAATATTTTCTGACGATCTTTTTTGTCCTACGTGGTACATGTATAGTCATCTATGGTCAAATTTTTGCGATGTTCTCTCTACTTGATAACGACGAAAATCGAACGTCGTAAATCAACGACGTAAGTATGAACGTCGCATAATTACGATGATAATATTAGTTTTGTTGCATAACACCTTTAGCTATGGGGAATAGGCGATGAATGCATTTTCGTCATGCATTCGTCGCAAATTGTGAAATACGACATAATTTTCACTTTCTGTGACATAAATGGAACGTCATAGAAGGTCATATCTCTTGTAGTGGCGTGCGGGACAAGGACAACAAGGAGCGTGGCGCTGGCGAGAGCTGTTAGAGAGGCCGCCACGGTGGGAATTCTTAGCTCTCTTTGTGCATCAGTCAGATTATATAAGTGATGGTTAATTACTATTTGGCACGGTACAAGTGAGTTAATTCGCGCAACGTAGGTATATACCATTAATTAGTCAAAACGATCTTAAACTTAAGATGATCTGAGTCTCTCATTTGAATGATTTATAATTTAGAATGGACGGAGTACTTGGAAGCTACCACCTTGCTACTGCCTCGTGCACACTCTGGCTTTATTTCAGGCATTGACTTGTACATAATATTGCTGGCACAGACTAGTACATACGAAGTGACCGAGTCTGACATCTTGCACGTTATTATGAAAATAAATCCAATGAAATCACACTGCCATAAAAAACAGAGCAAGAATGAAACCGGCGCAGGTGCACTTATATATAAACATAAAAGATAGTTAAAGCTTTCTCATAAAGTGAAATTCGTTTTGCCAAAAATACTACAAGGTACAAACTCAAAAGAAAAAAAGAAAGGAAATTGCACAGCCATCCTCCTGTTCTTCACGAACAGTAGTTGCTAACACGAAAGAAATTAAAGACATACTATATGATACGATCATGCACTTGGCACTATTTCTCCCCACATTGGTTAGGTTACTCCCCGAGTGCGAAAGCAGCGGCGTTGAAGCTGTCGGAGAGGCCTGTGCCGGTCTTAAAGGTGACGTTCTCTGGCGAGGCCTCCGGAACATACACCTCTACCACACTTAACCACAGCATCAGCTCCTTGGTCTTGACGCCGGTGATCTTCCGCAGCTTCCCCTTCTCGGCGAAGGCCGTCACCTCGGGTGCATAGGACACGGTCTGCTTGATCTTCTTGAACGTGTGCTCCACCTTCTTCCGCTGCACCAGCCACATGAACCCGGTGGCGCGGTTGTACCCGAACTCCTGGAGGTCCTCCATTGGAAGGAGGCCCTTGGGGAGGCCCAGCTCTTCCAGCAGCTCCACGGACTTCTTCCTGCACATGGCGTCGTCTCCGCTGACGACCTCTGCGCCGGAGCGGTGGCTCTCAATTTGGGTCGCCATTGGAGCTAGCTTTGCAAGCAAATGGGTGGTTCTGATCTGAGAATGTGTGGTAATAAGCAGATGAGTTGAGCTTGTTGTGATGAACTGATGAAACATGAGGCGATAGTAAGGTTTATATAGAGGTTGATCTCAAGAACCGCTGTGTAAAGCGTTAATAGTCTGGGACTGGGACTGAACAGAATTCAGAGGCAACTCGTGACCCTCGTAGGGCTAGCCATTTCTGACTTCTGTGACCAGCAAGCATACTCTGACTCATAGATTCACTGACCTAGTCAAGAGATGACTAGGCGACCAGCTAGAGTAAGGAGGTGTCACACGGGGTGTTTGGATCCAGTGACTAAACTTTAGGAGGTGTTATATGAGAGTGTCGTAGGGGTGTTCAGATACTAATAAAAAAATAAATTACAGAATCCGTCAGTAATCCGCGAGACGAATTTATTAAACCTAATTAATCCGTCATTATCGCATGTTACTGTAGCACCATGTTGTCAAATCATGGACTAATTAGGCTTAAAAAATTCGTCTCGTAAAACAGTCTCAATCTGTGCATTTAGTTTCATAAATAGTCTATATTTAATACTCTATACATATGTCAAACATTCGATGGGACAACGACTAAAGTTTAGGAGGAGGAACCAAACAACCCCCGACACAAAGTCTCATCACTTAGCACGTCACGGTAGTACCAAAAATAGTTAGGCCTTGTTTAGATTGCAAATTTTTGTAATCTAGACACTGTAGCACGTTTCGTTTGTATTTGACAAACTTTGTCCGATCATGGACTAACTAGGCTCAAAAGATTCGTCTCGTGATTTACAACCAAACTGTGTAATTAGTTATTTTTTTACCTACATTTAATGCTCCATGCATGCGTCCAAAAATTAATGTAATGGAAAGAGAGTGAAAAAACTTGGAATTTTGAGGCAATCTAAACAAGGCCTTAGCACACCACGACCATATTCAACAATCTAAAAACTGGGCAACCACAGCTGGCTGACACGCCATGAGTCTTATGAATCTGAAACAAAGTACAAAATTGCTTTATTTTCCATAATGTATCATATGGATTACATATATAAATAGTAAGTTTCAGTTGGCAATTTGGCATGTTACTGTCATTCTAACATTATTCATTATTATTGCTCCGTTTCTCCTAAAATATAAGCGGCAGTGCTAGTGCCCAGACGCCCGCGCCTGAACTCTGTTTTGCGCGCCCATGCGGGGCCCACATTGTACGAACGTCGCCCGCACCGCCCGGACCCCCACCCCCCGCCGCCACCGCTCGCACCCCCCTCCACTTCCCCCACCCAGACGTCTGCACCCGCTCGGTGGTGCCCTAGCAGCTGCGGCAAGTGGGTCCCCAGCATCAACAACCAAGCTACTTTTAAAACATCCCGATGAAACATTTACAACATGCTTCTGAAGACAGATGAAACACTTGAAACATGCGTCTGAAACACTTGCAATAAACACTTGAAAAAGCCATTGCAAAACATATAAAACATCCAGATAAAACTTGCAACATATGCGTGAAACATATGCAACATCGAAATAAGCATAATTGCAACGTACGTTTGAAAAAGCAGATGAAACATTTGGAACGGACGCTTGCAACACCCCAATCTATTTTTGCAACATCCATATGAAACACTTGCAACATACCTCTGAAACATCTGAAACATACTCTTACAACATACGCTTTCAATGCAATATCTCCTTGCTGCTCAGCAGAATGGAGACTCATCGATGTGTGGTGTTCACCGGAGACAACGTCCCGGCTGCCGTGTCTGCACGTCGCGAATGGGAGACATTGGCCACGCAAGCGGCGGGGAGGCCGCGGCCGCACGACTTGGAGAGGGCAGTCGCGCGCCACGCCTGGCAGGGCCGACAGATGAGTGCCGTGACTCAAAGGCGGCCATGCGCCGTGCCTTGCAAGGCCAGCGGCCGAGCGCTGCGCCTCGGAGGCGGCCATGCGCTCAGAGGCATCAGGCGAGTGGATAAGAGCGATAGGAAGAGAAACGAGTAGATAGGAATGAGTGCATGAGCAGTTTTGTTTACAAACGAAGGAGCGTGGGTTGTTGGGTTGACGTCACGGCCCAACAGTGGAGCGTCTGGGCGGACGAAACTATTCAAATGTTTCATTTCAACGTGACCAAGCCTTCTATGCCATAACTAACCCATACTAGACTTAGTGAACAAGCACGTTGATAATTGAGCTTCACTAGCATTGAAATCAATCAAGTATAGATTATCATATCTTAAGCCTTTGAAGATCAAATTAGTGTCATCTACACTTATGATCTCTACATCATCTACTCCAAATATGCACTTGAATCTAAGATCACACAATTGAGCCACGGATAGCAAATTAAAGTTCAAGCTCTCAACTAGCAACACATTGGAGTTGCTCAAGTCATTAGATATTACAATCTTATCAAGCCCCTTGACCTTGTCTTTGCCATTGTCACCAAATGTGATACTATCATAAGCATTTCTATCATTGGTATTGATTGAATTAAACATTCTTGCATTACTGGTCACGTGTTGAGTGCACCCACTATCAAGAACCCAATGCTTTCCTTCGGCTTTTGTAATTGACATACAAAAGAAGATCAATTCTTTTTAGATACCCAAACTAGCTTGGATCCTTGAATGTTAGTGACTAAGCTCTTAGGCACCCAAATGGCTTTCTTCTTTGAGCCCATAATTGGAGTACCCACAAACTTAGCATGCACCCCATTAACACCCTTAGTGAGCAAATAACAAGAATCAAACTTAATTGAGGATACATTTGGTTGCTTGTTCTTGTTCTTGCAATATTGCTCTATATGTCCAACTTGCTTGCATCTATTGCAAAACCGACCATTGTTCTTCATAAAACTAGTCTTGTGAAGAGCAAATGTTGCCTTTCCTTTCTTGGGGTTATAGCCTAATATCTCTTTATTGAGAGAAAATCTTTGACTACCCAAGCACTTTAGTAAGCGGGCCTCACCACCATAGGCATTGCCTAA